ACTCTGGCGGCAGCATGGTGTGAGCTGGAAAGCCTGGAGCAGGACTCCGGCGGCAGCATGGTGTGAGCTGGAAAGCCTGGTGCAGGAATCCGGTGGCAGCATGGTGTGAGCTGGAAAGCCTGGAGCAGGACTCCAGCGGCAGCATGGTGTGAGCTGGAAAGCCTGGAGCAGGACTCTGATGGCAGCATGGTGTGAGCTGGAAAGCCTGGTGCAGGAATCCGGTGGCAGCATGATGTGAGCTGGAAAGCCTGGAGCAGGACTCTGACAGCAGCATGGTGTAGCTACAGAGAAAGAAAAGTTGGACTCTCTTTCAGTTATCTTGTTTTGTTTTATTCTGTGAATGGCCCTTATGCACGAGTGATGATACACACTTTTGACTGTAGTTTATATTGAATGCATGTGACAATAAAAGATATTCATATTCACTCCTGTAAGGTACTTGAAATATGAAGATTGGATTTTATCTTCTCAGAGAGCGTGTGGTGGTCACACTTAGTGACACTGTCATGGACAGATGCATCTGCAGCTGGCAATGTAGAAAGAGTCTAACTTTTAGTTTAAAAGAGTAGAGGAGGCTTTACACTCTATCTAATCACATGCGGGTCATGTCCTGGGAGAGTTTGATGGGGACGGTGTGGAGATAGCTTTAATTTTGATAAAAACTGGTAGACTAAGCTTTATTTTCAGTTTAAAATATTTGAGGGGGCTTTACTCTGTATCTAACTCTAGGCTGTACCTGTTCCAGGAATGTTTGAGGGGACACTGAAGAGGAACTTTTACTTTCAGTTTAAAAGAGTAGAGGGGGCTTTATTTTCTGTTTAAAAAGAGTAGAGGGAGATTTAGTCATATAGTCATAGTCATACTGCGCAGGACAGGCCATTTGGCCCATCGAGACTGCACCGATATAAGTACCACTAAAAGTGCACTAATCCCAAGTTCCTGCACTTATCCCATATCCTTGAATGTTATGACATTTCAAGTGCTCATCCAAATATTTTTTAAAGGTTGTAAGGTTTCCAACCCCCAATACTTTCCTAGGTGGTGCATTCCATATTCCCATCACCTAGAATAAAAATGTTTTTTCTCAAATCTCCTCTGAATCTGTTGCTCCTTACCCTAACACTATGCCCTCTCGTGATTGACCCTTCAACCAAGGGGAACAACTGCTCTCTATTCACCCTATCCATTCCTCTCATAATCCTAAGTCATGTCTCACTCTCAGCCTTCTCTGCTCTAAAGAAAACAATTCAAGCCTATTTAGTCTCTCCTTGTAGCTCAAATTCTCCATCGCAGGCAACATCCTGGTGAACCTTCTCTGTACCCCTTTAAGTGCTATAATATCCTTCTTGTAGTTAGGTGACTAGAACTGCACACAGTACTACAGCTGTGGGCTAACCAACGTCTGTATAACTCCAACATACTCTATGCAATGACTGATGAAAGTAAATGTCCCATATACCTTCTTAACTATCCTATTCATGTGCTTTGCCAACTTCAAGGATTTTTAAACAATTGTTCTAAGGTCCCTCTCTTCCTCTGAGGTATCCAGTGTCCTGTTATTCATTAACTACTCCCTCATCTTGCTTCTTCTTCTAAAGTGCATCACCTTGCACTCATCAGGGTTAAATACCTCTGCCACTGCCCTGCCCATCTGATCGAACTCATCTATATCTTCCTGTTTCCTACAACTGTTTTCTTCACTGTTAACCACCTTACTAATCTTGGTGCTGTCTGCAAAACTCGCTTAAGTTTCCCTCCACATTTTCTTCTATATCATTTATGTACATAACAAACAATAAGTAGGTGTAATCCTGACACCGGCCTCCAGTCGCTCAAACAGCCTTCTACCCTTTGTGTCCTGATACTGAGCCAGTTTCTGTTCCATCTCACCAACGTTCCCTGAATTCCATATGCTTTAATCTTCACAATCAGTGCCCCGTATAGGACATTGTCAAAAGCTTTGGTAAAATCTTTATAAACTACATTGACTGAACCTTCCTTATCTATATACTTGATCACATTTTCAAAAAATTCTAACAAATTTTGTTAGGCATGACGTCCTTTTGACAAGCCATGCTGACTGTCCCTAATTAAATCATGCTTTTCCAAATAGATATTAATTCTCTACTTCAGAATTTTTTCCAATAGTTTCCCTACCACTGACATGAGACTCACTGGCCTGCAATTCCCTGGGTCATCTAGCTGTCCTGCAGTCCTCTGGCACTTTACCCGTGACCAGAAAGAAATTAAAATTTGTGTCAGAGCCCTTGTTATTTCCTGCCTTGCCTCCCATGGTAGCCTGGGATGCAATTTATCCAGGCTAAGGGATTTGGCTCTTTTAAGCCTGACAGTGTCTCCAGTACCTCCCCATTTCCTATTTCAAACTGTGCAAGTTCCTCACAGTCCCTGTTCATGGATTCCATACCTACCTTCTCCTTTTTCCAGAATGAAGATCGAAGTTTTCATTCAACACTGTTCCAATGTCCTGCAATATCCAGCTTCAACACAGGTTACTCCCTTGGTCCCATATGGGCCCTACTCTTTTGCTGGTTAACCTCTTCTCTTTAACGTATTTATAAAACAACTTCAGACTCTGATCCTGATTGCAGGTCCTTTAATCATGGCTCCTTTTCTTGCTCTTCTAATTGCTTTCCTAAGTTCCCTCTTGCACTTCCTATATTTTTCTAGGTCCACAGCTGAATTGCTCCCATTGGACTTTCTAAAAGTCTTTCTCTTCTTTTTCATCCAGTCCTGAATTTCCCTAGACATCCAGGGCCCCCTGAACTTGATGTTCCTAGATTTCCCCCTAAAGGATACATGTTGGACCTATACTTTCCCCAGTTCCTTTTTGAATGCTCCTCACTGCTCTGCTGTAGACTGACCCACAAGGAGCTGTTCCCAGTCAACTTTGGCCAGATCCTGCTTTATTTTGATAGAATTTGCCTTCCCCCAATCCAAGAGCCATTTTATGATGAGAGGCTGAATAGATTGGGATTATATTCACTGGAATTTGGAAGAATGAGGGGGGATCTTATAGAAACATATTAAATTATGAAGGGAATGATAAGATGAAGCAGGGAGAATGTTTCCACTGGCAGGTGAAACTAGAAAAGAGGACATAGCCTCAAAATTAGGGGAAGCAGATTTAGGATTGAATTGAGGAGGAACTTCTTCACCCAAAAGATTGTGAATCTGTGGACTTCCCTAGCCAGTTGAGGCTTCCCCATTGAATGTTTTTAAAGCTAAGATAGATAATTTTTTTAATAGTAAAGGAATTAAGGATTATGGAGAGAGAGTGGGTAAGTGTAACTGAGGCCATGAAAAGATCAGCCATGATCTTATTAAATGGCGGAGCAGGTTCGAAGGGCCAGATGGCCTACTCCTGCTCCTGGTTCTTATGTTCTTACGTTCTTATAGATGACTTATATAAGGATTTTGTCTAACTGTATATTTTCTAATAATGAGGTATTGGAATTACTCAAACTCCTTTGCTGGAGAAGGATTTAGTTTTCCCTCAATGGAATTCAATAAATACTAAAGTATTAGTAAATGGGATAGGTGCAGAGTATATCCCATTTCCATTGTACAAAGTCCAGTTGACGTGTGACTTATTGTCTGGACTAGTGGTAGTCAGGGTAGTTACCAAACTACCTGTGGATGGAGTCAATTTATTGCCGAGGAGTGATTTAGTAGAAGTGAAAGTTATAGCTTCGCCTATAATCATGGAAAGCTCAAGTGAGGCTAAACAGATGGAACAGTTGCAAGAAAAGGTCCCGAGTATTTTTTGTGTAGAGCTGGATGAACACAGCAGGCCAAGCAGCATCATAGAGCAGGAAGGCTGATGTTTCGGTCCTAGACCCTTCATCAGAAATGGGGGCGTGGAAGGGGGTTCTGAAATAAATAGGGAGAGAGGGGGAGGCGGATAGAAGATGGATAGAGGAGAAGATAGGTGGAGAGGAAACAGACAGGTCAAAGCGGTGGGGATGGAGCCAGTAAAGGTGAGTGTAGGTGGGGAGTTAGGGAGGGGATAGGTCAGTCCAGGGAGGATGGACAGGTCAAGGGGGCGGGATGAGGTTAGTAGGTAGGAGATGGGGGTGGGGCTTGAGGTGGGAGGAGGGGATAGGTAGGAGGAAGAACAGGTCAGGGAGGCGGGGACGAGCTGGGCTGGTTTTGGGATGCGGTAGGGGGAGGGGAGATTTTGAAGCTTGTGAACGTCAGCTTTCCTGCTCCTATGATGCTGCTTGGCCTGCTGTTTTCATCCAGCTCTACACCTTGTTATCTCAGATTCTCCAGCATCTGCAGTTCCTACTATCTCCGAGTATTTTTTGTTGTGTGTGGTGACTAGAGCGATGGCTAAACAAAGTCCGTCAGCAGAATTTGCAGTAAAAACACAAGCAGATGTCAGGATAGCTGAAATTCTGTTTAAGAAAGAATATAATTCAAACGAAGTGTTTGGCATAACTTCATTAATTGAGGCTCAGAAGGCAGTTAGAGTTAGAGTTAAATAAGTTGCCACAGACATCTCACACTGAAGCTAAGACTGAAAGAGTTCTAGACTACTATTACATTGAAAACAGAATTCTGATGAGGAAGTGGAGACATTCCCATCGACCTGCAAATGAAGAATGAATATTTGTTCATCAAATAGTGGCACTAGCCTCATATTGGGCGTTCCAAGATGGGGCGTTCCACTCCCCGAACATTCCAGATGTCCTCTTATTTCAAGGACTGCAACTTCCCCCCTTTGGTGGTTGAAAATGCTCTTGACCTCATCTCTTGCGTTTTCATGCAGGAATGTGGAGTAATCCGATCAACTGTGATATTATTGAATGACGGAGCAGGCTCAAGGCACAGCATGGTCCACTGCCGTGTTTGTGCATTAGAGAATATTCTGAAATGGTGTCATTGGATTTCCTTGCAAGACTTTTGGTTCTGGCAAATGCCCATGTGACTTAAGTCAATACAGTGTGGAGCTGCAGGAACACAGTAGTTGAGGCAGCATTAGAGGAGCAGGAGAGTCGACGTTTTGGGCCTAGACCCTTCATCAAGACTGGGGAGGGGGAAGGGAGCTGGGAAATAAAGAGAAGGAAGAGGGGTAGGGCTGAGGGAAGGTAGGTGGGATGGCGATAGGTGGATGCAGGTAGGGGTACTGGGAATTGGTCAGTGGGAAAGGTGGGATGGATAGGTGGGGAAGGAGGTGGACAGGTAGTGTCAGGTCAAGGAGTCGGGGATGAGAGAGAGGGTTGGACCTACGATGAGGCCAGGGGTGGGGAGATTTTGAAACTGGTTCCTCCAGCTCCATACCGTATTGACTCTGTCTCCAGCATCTGCCGTTCTTGCTATGTCCATGTGACCTGAGGTTGTACTGGGATGAAAACTGAAAGGAAAAAAGTAATTAAAGAAATCAAATTACATCTAGTCTGAGAACCTGCAATTGATTACAGAAGACATGATGCCACATTTGTGTGGGAAGTGATACAAATATTTCTCTGTGAGGCATCTCTTTATTGTATCGACTATAAAAAATAAATTTATCTTTTTATTCAAATTGTCTCTTCCCTGCTGGTTAATATTTGAATGTGTTGATTTTAGTTGGTTTGTCACATTTTGTGTTAACATTCCTTTTCCATCCTGATGTAGTTGGTGCTCCCAGAATATTCCATCCATGGATTGTTCTGTATCATGTTCCTGTGTGCACAAGAATGGCTGACACTTGGTCTCAATATCCCTCTGCTCTTCTATAACCTTTGGAGGTGAGTCAGATAAATACTGAAGGGAAGGTGATGGCCTAGTTGTATTATCACGAGATTGTTAATCGAGAGACACAGGTTATTATCTGGGCAGGGAACTTTTCTGATGAAGGGTCTAGGCCCGAAACATCAGCCTTTCTGCTCCTATGATGCTGCTTGGCCTGCTGTGTTCGTCCAGCCCTGCACCTTGTTGTCTCTTATTATCTGGGGACCCAGGTTCAAGTCCTGCCATGGATTTTTAATCCAATAAAATTTTGGAATTAAAGACTGAATGATGATCATGAAATAATTGATTTTCAAGGAAAAAAGTCATCTGGTCTCTAGGAGAGGAAACTGCTATCCATACTTGGTCTGGACTAAATGTGACTCCAGACTCCCAGCAATGTGGTTGACTCTTAACTGACCTCTGCGCAATTAGGGATGGACAATAAATGCTGGCCTAGCCAGTGACACCCTCATCCTATGAATGAATGAAAAAAATACTCTTGATTGATCCACCAGTATGGCAGGGAACTTTATTATGGGGATGAACTGCTGTGGTTCAGGATGTTAGCTCATCATCAGCTTCTTGAGCAATTCAGGATGTGCAACAAATTGTGTCCTTTTTACAGGCATGTGTTTCCGTTTGAAGGAACGTATTTACTTTGTAAAACACAGTCAACAGGAGAAATCCATTTCCCATTTGTCAGCCAACCAGGTTGAATCATAGGAGAGAAATTACTGGGAAGAGATTTCTGGGGTGGAGGGAGAGAGAGAGAGAGAGAAGTTATCAGGGAGAGAGCGAGACAAAGAAAGATCACAGGTAGAGACAGTGATAACCAGGGAGAGAGATCACCGGGGAGAGTGAGAGATGTTGGGGAGAGAAAGAGAGATCACCAAGGACAGATCACAGGGAGAGAGAGTATAGGGCGAGAGAAATCACAGGGAGAGTTTTCGGAGAGAAACAGAGTAATCACGGGGAAAGATCATTGGTGGAGAGAGAAAGATCTTGGGGAAAGAGAGAAATCTTAGGGGGAGAGAGAGATTTGTGAATGGGGAATTGTGTTTGATGAACTTGATGTATGTTTTTGAAGATGTTATAACAAGATTGATAAAGGAGAGTCAATTGACATAGCATGCTTGGATTTTCAGAAGCTTTTTACAAAGTCCCCCACAAGAGGCTGGTTAGGAAGATTTAAGCACATGGGACACTGTCCTGGCATGGATTAATGATGAACTAATAGATCTGCGAAGAAAGTGATAGGTCGTAGAATAAAAAGGACAAGTAGCAACATGGATATAAATTTGGCTGAGTGAAAGGAAGCAGATATTAATGATTAATGAATATTCTGAGCTAGATGAAGGTTTGTAGTAGAGTTCCCGAGGGGTTGTTATTAGGACCCTGGTTTATATATACGTGATTTACTCTACATCAAGAGAGAAACTGCAGAGAGAGAAAGAGGGAGAGCGATCACAGAGAGAGACTGCGGGGTAAGAGAGAGAGAGGGAGTGAGTGACCATCGGAGAGAAACTACAGGGGGAGTCGGAGAGAGACCATTAGGATAGAGACTGCATGGAAAGAGACCATCAGGAGAGAGACTGCAGGGAGAGAAACCATCAGGAGAGAGACTGCAGGGAGATAGACTGCAGAGAGAAAGAGACTGCAGGGAAAGAGAGAGAGACTGTCAGGAGAAAAACTGCAGAGAGTAACCATCAGGAGAGAAACTGCAGGGAGACAGAGGGAGATTGTCGGATGAGAAATTGTGGACAGCGATCCCAAGGTTAGATTTCCGGGGGCCCGTAACTGTTGGAAGAGGGATTGTGGGAGTTCCAGCTTTTCATCTCCCATACCATGGATTTCATCCTATTCATTTAATCGACTCCCACTTCCCATATTACAGACTCAGCATCATTTAAATTGACTGCTGAGCCAAAGAAAGGAAGAGTGGGAGTGACCAAAGAGTTGGGTGTTAAGGAGGAAAGAGGTTAGAGATATAGAAGGGTATGGAGTGGGAATTGCAAAAAGATAAATCCGAGCAGGTGGCTATGCCCTTTGTGTATTGCAGATATTTTCACAGCCCCACGGACAGTAATGAGTTAATGTACGATCCTGCGACAGTGATGAACGATGAGACACTGAACTACTGCCAGAAAGAAGCTTGGTGCAAGATGTCTTTCTACCTGATGTCATTTTTCTACTATCTCTATTGGTAAGGAGGCATTTCAGTGAGCCATACAGTGACAGAAAGGAGCTAAACTTTGGGACTCCTAGAGTGAGTGAGGCACAGGTTCTTGGAATGAGCTGCATAGTTATGAATGAATGGAGATTAGAAATTATGCCACAACTTTCCATTAAACTTCAGATTTTTGGAAGATCATTGATGATGCAGCTGAAGATGGTTGGGCCTAGGACTCTACCCTGAGGAACCCCTGCAGAGATGTCCTGGAGCTGAAATAAATGACCTCCACCAGCCGTAACCATCTTCCCTTATGTTAGAATAGTCTCCAACCAGCAGCGAGTTTTCTTCCTAATTCCTATTGACTAGGGTTTCTGGATGTGACACTCAGTCAAGCACAGCTTTGATATCACTTCACTCTCACTTCACCTCTGGAATTCAGCTCTTTTGTCAATGTTTGAACCAAAACTGCAATGAAGTCAGGAGCCAAATGCTATCCATTGAAAGTGGGAGCTGTGTGACCTGTAATGGCACTCAAGGTGAGGTTAGAGAGGTACACAAGGGAGAAGGAAATAGACTGTTATACAAGGGTGCCACATGTGTATTTTTGTTTTCTGATCTGTAAAATTCTATGTAATTCATTGTAAATTTGATCACTAAATTTCAGCCTGTGGAATTTCTGTTTTCTCCTACAGTATGATTGATACGTTGGTCAGCATTTAATCGGGAGGGCTCAGAGGCAGATTGCGAATCAAATCCAGCAAAAAGCAGAGACAGAGGGAGACTGTCATGTCTGAAATATTGAATTCTAACCTTGTCCCATCCTTTACTACACCCCTTCTAAACAATGAAGCAGCATTGAAGACATAGTCCTTTACTATATCAACAGCCAAGGAAGGATAAAGAGAAAATATTGAAGGGAGTTGACTTCTGCGCTCGCCCAACATGTCTGCCTTGTTCATGGATGTACAGTCTTAAAGTTTACAACTATGAAACCAGCTGTGATGTCTGTATAATTGTTTTATTTATCTAGTTATGTACAGAGGTGTCCCCATCAGTCCCCCTCCAAGTAAAGGAGATCTCTCCAGCTGGACCCTTTACAGTGAAGGAGATCTCCCCATCACAATCTCTTTACAATGAAGTATCTTCCTCCTTCAGAAGCCCTTAAAGCAAGCAATATCGCTCCAATAGGTCCCCTTAGAATGAAGAGGTGTCTCCACGATCTATTACAGTGATGCAGATCTATTCAGTGTGACCTCTTATAGTAGGGGAAATCTTCCTTCAGGATCCTTTGAATGAAGTCTCTTCATTGACCTTTTACAGTGAGGGAGATCTCTCCTTTGGGACCCTTTACAGCAGAGTGGGAATGGGGATGGGGTAACCTTTCTATCATGATGCCATCAGGGCAATGGAGGTTTCTCTTTCATTGAAAATGATCCCTTACCATGATGGAATTCTCAGCTCCAGGGCCCTACCCTTCAATCAATTGGAAAATGGTTTATGTATATTTCT